GCAATTTTTTGTCTTTTACAAATTTGAAATTTCAAATTTCAAAGTCTTTTAAAAGATATTAGAAGAAAAAGTAATTAACTTACGAATTAACAAGCATAATAATAAATGTTTGCCGATATTTTGAGCTTAGGAAACAGTAAGTCATGAAACTAACGTAACAATTAATCAGGGATAATAAATCTAGCAAATTTGCTAAATTTCTGTACAAAATAGTATGCACATCATTGGTATGCAAGGCGTTTAGCATCGCTAATACACCTTGTGGTAATTCCGTTACCTATAATACGACGAAATCATTAATTAAATAGCAAATCAAATCATTTTAATTTCAATTTCAAATGATTGATTTTATTTTAAAGCAATAGAAAACCATCAAATTATCTTTTCAGCTTCATTTATTTAAGCCAAAATTTGCTGTAAGTTTTAATAACTAATAGTTAAAGTGAAAAAAGAATACAATTTACCAAAAAGACGGAAAGCATGACGACAAGTGTAAAAGTCGTTCGATCATAGTTTCGTTTACTTCTCTTAGCAGCAGCATTATTATTATTATTATTATTCTTTTTACTTCCCATATCATCAGCAAAGTAATATTTACGATAAAGTAAATTTTGCCTTCTCTTCAAATTATTCCTCAATCGAAATACTAACAAAATTGTAAAACAGCACAATAACAAACAAGGTAATGCCTGCAAATATTTATCTATAAATCGGTCTTTATCAATCTTTGTAATTGACCTCTTCCACTTTACTTTTTCAAATTTAATTCGAGAAATAACATAATTAAGTGATTATTCTTCTATATGAAAGACACAAATGTATTCGTAAAAATCAGGTCACTTAATAATTTTGTTCAAATACTTTCTTTGCATTACAAGTGTAACATTGTTATTAGATGAGAATATTTTTTGGTATTTTAAGGAAAGGTGACAATGAAACGAAAAAATCGAATGACAATGAAACAGAAAAATCAAACCTTTAATGCAATACCTAAAATCCATAAATTAAGTTTAAAATATTTGCAGCTATTATGTATTGCCCAATCAGATATATCAATTGTGTAAAGTAAATGTTCACCATCGACCCTGAAGAAGGCAAAAGATGATTTTGTATGGTATTTTAATGAAGATAAGAAAAGATAATGAGTTATAAGTGTAATCAGTCTTATCTCTTGATAAAGATGGCATTGTCAAAAGCCGAACTTAGCCTTTTCATTCCATTCTCGCAAATGAAAACACTCCAAAATATCAAAATTTTAAATATCAGATTTCAAAATGTCAAATCATACCATCCAACGTTCTCTTTATTACATTATTCGACCTTATTAAGCCTTAAGTCCTTATGACATAACCTTCGATTACCCTTGTATGCATTTCACTAGGATGTATTAATCAGTTGTTAAATACTACAGTAATCATTTATGTAACTTTCAAACCATTCTGCAAATTTCTTTACTCCTATGATTTTACTAAGATTTTTTCAACTAATTGTAGGGAAAAAAAAATGAATTTTTCATTTGTAAATTGTTAAATTGTACTTTAAATCTATTTAATTTTAAATTTTATATCAAAATAATACTTACCATACAACTTTAATTTCATGTACCAAAAATGTAGGAATACATATGGCTGATACAATTACTGCAATAATACCTGTTGTACACCTAAACATCCATTTCTTACCAATTAAGAAATTTCATTTTTAAGAAGAATTTCCACTTATCACAATTTTTCGTAAAATTTCATTCGTAGCGATATTATTTGATTGTAAATGGTGTGTAACTGAAGAGAATCAGGAATTAGTAATACTTGAGAGTGTACATAGCAGATATTGAAAATGGACGAAACTACACAATAATGAGAGATGAAGGACGATAAGAAAATCTATAAATACTCGCCGTCGTTGTCGTAACTAGCTTTTGTGAAGGATTATCAGTGTAAAATTAAGCAAATTTATTTGTAGCAGGAAGTTCTTTTAGGCGGTGTTGATGTGGCACGGTTTTTTTCCGCGTTGTCGTTTGTCCTCAAGGTGATTCTGTGTGAAGCAACGACGTTATGGATGATATGTCTCCATGTCTCCCGATTCGAGGCCATAGTGAACCATTGATGGTAGGGTCAAGGGTGAGATATTGTTTCGGGGAGTTCTTTTATCTCCTGTTTGGAAGCCAGTGGCAAGTTTACCAAAGAATACAGTCTTAGAAAGAGACGGTATCATCTGTCCTGGAGATGTGTCTAGCCAAGCGTAGCTACGTTCCCAGTATATGGCATCAATACTAGTGATCGCTATTTGTTACCTGTTTAAGGGCAATCAGTCACGTAGTTAGACTAATGAATCTTTACAATTGTACGGAGGCAATGCTAGTGAAGTGTTCGAGGAGTTGCAAATGGTGGCAGTAAATGACTCATAATTTAGATCTATATAAAAGAGTAGAAAGTACTGAGCTTCCATAAACACTTTGTACTTTTCTTCAGGTGCTTAGTGCTAGAGAAGTTTTCCGAATACTTGGTATGTCTTTGCTAACCTGTTGTCCATTTCTTTGTTAATTTTACTATCCGAGAAGACGATGTGTCCTAGATAGTTGAATTGTTGGACTAACTTAAGCTCTGATTTGCTTATGTGATGTGAGGATGATGGAAGATTTGCTCTAGTACTGGCTGGTAGAGAACTTCTGCCTTCATTCTGACGTCCAGCCCAAAAGTCCAGCAACCACTGCAAAACAGGATGTTAAGCGTTGCAGAATTGCTTCTATCATAACAAAAGTAGCTCTCGGACGTGATAGTTTGGGGTCTTGATATGGGTCTTCAATTGCCTTAGATTGAACAGGTCATCGGTATGATGTCAGATGTAAATGGTGTTTTCTTCATCTTCACACCATTGGTTTATTGGGAAGGGCTGAGAGAGTGCATAATCACATACTGACTTGACCACTCTGATCGTCATGTATTGAGGAATATAGGGAAATATTCTAATCATTTCAGGATCTGCGGCAGGTTTTTTTTCTAACACAATGTCGAAAGCCGTGGTGAAGTCTACGAAAGTTATACAGAATTCTTTATTTTGTTCTCTACATTTCTTTCTTATCTTTGGCCATCTGCGCTAAGTAAGGAGTTTTGATGTGGTGTATGGGTCTATATACAGCTTTCAGAGGCTTGTAAAATCCTCTATGGTCATCCGATGCTAGGTTGATCCATCATTTGCTTTGGATGTCTTGAAGTTTCTGTTGGAGGTTACTGCTTACAAGACGAAAGGTTCTTCTTCTAACATGTCAACAGGTGTGCCCTGTAAGCAGTTCTCTTTCTTGTTAATAAATTCTCCATTCCTTCATTGTTTCCATCAAACCAATCTTTGTTCATCTTGCAAGAAAATCTAAGGATTCCACGGAAGGAAAAAAGGTTAAGTTTTTTTCTGGGTTCAAAATGGGGGTTACGTTTGCATCGCACAAGGCGTGTTTGATATTCTGCATTGGACATTACTTGAGTGTAACGGACATCACGGACCTTTCTCTGGCGTATTAAGACATAATCGATAAAGTACAAGTACCTGGATTGAGAAGGTTGGCTTCAGGCTGTCTGTCTGCTCAAAGATAATGTTTGGGATGGCGAGTTGCTGTTTATACAAAACTCTGGCGAGAGCTATCCTTTGTCGTTGCAATTTCCGACACCTTGCTTGTCTAGTACTCCTTTTCAGGTTTCAGCATTCTTTTCTACTTTGGCATTGAAATGATCAAGGATTGTGACCTTACCATCAACAGGAACCTTTTAGATACAACCCGACAGCGCAAGTTGGTTCTATAAGGTCAGCTCGCAACTTTGGGACATATGTGCCAAGAACAATAATATGCTGTCTGCTGCAGGAGGCATAGGGAGATAATGCGATCGGAATGACCTCGGCAGATTTCGAGTTTGGAGACAAAGAAGTTTTTAACCATGAAGCCAACTCTTGAAAAATGACTTTCGATTTTGAGTTTTCCTAACCAATTGAGTGTAGCCAGTATCATGTTCTTTGAGGTTATCATCCTCATGGAGATGAATAAACTCCATTTTCAGGTTGCCATTAAATGGTCATATTCTGTTGTTTGGTTAATACCCACCTCTTGTCGCGGGAAAGCTTTGCATGTCCTTATAAGGTTGCGAGCTCTGCTGTGTCTCCTGTTGTGCCTATGGTGGCCTCCCCATGCCAGATAGGTCTATCCAGATAAATCGTATACACGAGCAGGATGAGACTCGCTAACTTCCCAAATCCGGACAGATGGAGCTGGTCTAGTCCTGCAATGTTATTTTAGAGAAGAATACTCTAACTAAGCCTACTTCCCAAGGACTTCGCTGTCACTACCCAAGCTTGTTAGTCCCTGACAAATGAACCTTAGGATTAAAGATCTGTGCACGCTGTGTCTTACCTAAAAAATCCATTGCACTGGCTTGAAGGATACACTCATTTTTGTAAAGTTCTGTAGCGAAAAGTGAGGGATAAAACGGCAAGTGATAAGGTGGAAACCGCAGACCTAAACCTGCACACAGGGTTCAGAATATTATTGGTCGTTTTGGATTGATCCAGAGATGACAGTCTTGTTCGGCAATATTCTGAACGACCAATTAGCCTTTTTCAAGGAGAGCATTGCTTGTTTCATACGGAGAGAAGCCTAAAAGGGAATCTTTTGGGAATCCTAAAGAAATTCTAAAAGAATCCTAAAGGAAGAAAAGGGAATCTTCATATAGCCTATCCGAAACTCATCTCCATCTCCATCCGGTCAGCTAACCACGGCGAACAGGAATCTTTTGATGCGGTTGCACAGAAGAAAACAGAAGAAAAAGGCATACACTTAAAGATGTTTACGGATTGAAATGGAAACTGGATTGACATGTTGGAACATTAAATACATGCTTGTTAATACGAATAATGAACGTTCTGGGCGTTGTTTTGTTATAATTAATTGCCCATGAGCTACCACGACACAATAAATACTAATTATTAGCAAAAAGTAATGATGATAAGGATGAATAGAAGAATGATAGTTTGATAATAAATATTATAGAGAATTCAGAACAACACATACAAATAGAATTGAATTAGTGGGCATTGTTTGTGCTCTTTATTACTGAATATTTAAATAGATTATTAATGGATGGGAAATTTGAAATCCCACACAATTCAATCTAATATTATCTCTGAATTTGTTTGCTTATCAGTGTCTTTGTCATTATTATTTAAATTTCCTGGTCTTTTCCTTTTTTTCTCTTGTTGAAATCAGTTTAATTAATTTTAGTTTCAACAATTACAGTTCCGTGAAAAGTTGATGAAACTTCCGTTTGTTCGTTTCCTACACCTTTTTATATCTCAGACAAATATAATAGGAAGAATTTTTGTTGAAATTTCCAAGAATAAACGGATCATTGAGATAGTTGAAGATTTTCAAAAATAATTTTAGAGAAAAAAAAACATAGAAAAAATTTAATGTTTATCAAGCAAACCATGTGGTAATAGGCTGAAAAAATGAATTTCTAGATTGTGCCAAAGCACTCCATCGGATAATGGCCAATGTTACGCAACAATACAATGTTATTCCGTGAAGTGCTATCGATGTTACGGCGTGAATTTTAAGAATTACTACCCATATATAGCTGAAAAAAAATTAAAAGTAATAGTAGCACAAATGATTATTATGCTAAAAAAGGTTTACACCACTTTGATCATGATGAATTTTGTAAATTTTCACAAATAATTTAGAAAAAAAGGAAAATTTCAAAAGCATTTAAAATTCACATTTTTAAATTTATCCTGTATTTTAAGGTTATTTTTATTCATCCTTCTTGTCAAAAATTACTAATAAATTTGCATATAACCAAAAAGACAAAAAAGAAAAAAAACTGAAAGTTTTTTGAAATGCAAGCAAAAAACGAGAAATTTGGAAATCGTTATAATTTAAATCGACTTTAATTGAGTTTGTATAAGTTGTAGAAGAATAGTTATTTCTTGTTATTTTCATTGTTTGTTTATTATACATTTAACAAATTCATAAGTGTATAGTATATGATAAGCAACAAATTTAAAAACAAAATAACTGCAAGAATTATTTATTCATACAATTCCTTAAAATTATATGAATTTAATTAATTTCAAATTGAAAGCTAGAAGAAAATTGTGATAATATTGATCAAATTATCAAACTATTGATTGTCTACCTCACTCCCATTCCTGACGTTGGCACAAAAAATTTAAATTTGATAATATAGAGGAGATATGAGCTCATCGTAATTATATCACATACAGCAATAACAACCAATACACAATTAACTGCTGATCGTAACATGCTTGGTCTAGTTAGTACCAAAATATGAATTATATTTGCGAAAATTCCCGTTGGACAAATTAAGAGGCAAATATATGGATGTAATACATCGTATGTTCTGAAATGTTTGAAATTAAAATTATCTCATAAATTTACCTAAATTACTTATTAGTGATTATTATCGATTGGAATGGAGAATTTCCGAAAAGTAAATATCACAATGTTCCACATTTATTTATTTATTTTTCTTTGATATCCGTTTTATTTGCTATATTCCATATATTATTGAAAGCAATTATTGCTAGAGATTCAAGCATTATGAAAAATATGGAATTTTGGATGAATTTTCTTATTAATTAAAATTAACATATAGGAAAACTATCTGATAATATTAAGTGGAATGGAATGGTCTACAAGAATTTCCACCTAATTTAATCTTAATTAAGTTTTCATACTTTTTAAATGGATTATTTACAGATTCTTATTAGAGCTAAATGAAAGTAATACTTACGATTGAAATTCATAAAGTGCTCGTTGCATTGCGATGGAAACATTTTCATCAAATAATGGAGGATCATTTTCACAATACATTTTTTTCTTCCTTTCTTTTCCTCTTCACAATGACATGAAATGAAAGATTTTTTTGTCATCGCCAGAATTTTATTTGCAAAACATTTCAATATAGGCATTTGATTCAAAGAAAAAAAAAAAGCAAAATTAGATATGATGAGAGAGAAAAAAAAAGACAAATTTTCCATCAGGAAAAGGAAAAGCAAAGAAAAAAATGAAATAAAAATTCAAAAGTAAATAAAAAAGAAAAGAAAAAAAAACCAAAGAAGTGAACTTTAAAAGAATGAACTAAGTGCAATTAGAAAAATGTCTCATAGATAATTTTTATTCAAAGGACAGCATCAATTTTCCACCTTTCATTCATTACTTCTTCGATTTAAATGAAATAATAGCATTTTAATTTAAAATGAAATATTAAAGTGAAAATTAATATCGAACATGTGAACTTTGAAAAGAAACAAATTTCTTTTTTCTTTACAAAAGATTTGCTTTTCTTGTTTATCATTAAAACGTATACTGTCAGGTATAATCTTTCAGTAGATTTTTAAATAGTTGTGAATGAATACGAACAAACATTTCAAATAAAAATTTCAGTTTATTTTATGCATGAAATTAGAATTAATCAATTCGAATATTTGTGAAACAGTTTTGACTAGCCAAGAAAGCTATAAGAAATGTTTTAACAACTTTAATTATTCAATTTTTAAAATTGTAATCATTCTGATTGTTCAAATTTTGAAGTTGTTCACAAGTAATTTGTTATATAAAATTTTTCAAAGTTTTAATAACTTCCAAATCTTTCTTTTATTTTGTGCACAATTCCATCATTTTTTGATATTTTTCAAAATTTCACACTATTATCTCCATATATTCTTCCAATTCTTTCGTTTCTTTGTTTCCCTCATAGTTTTCCTTATTTTTTCATTTTTTAAATGAATTTCATAACTGAAACTGATGAAATGACATGCTATCCGTAAGAATGTTACATCCAAATATTAGATTTCAGAAAATGCTGACGCTAATGAATGAAATAATTTTTGTTGAAAAAATTTTAAAATTGTTCAAAATCACCAAGTATTAATCAATGAAGGAAAATGAATCATAAATAAGAGCCGTATTAGTGTCAAAGTTAGTGTCTTTTTTAGATTTCTAAAAAATATCCCTCTTTTACTTTCGCAAATACCGAACGAAAGAGGAAAGTGATTAGAAATTGTTAGAATAGAGACATAAAAGAAAGTTGACGATTTTTGAAGTTTTTTTCTGGAAAATACATATCAGTTAAGCAATTGGAAAGTTTTTAAAACAATTATATGAAAAGGAAAAACGGTCTAAAAAGAAGATGGTTGAAAGATGATTACACAAAGTAATAATAAACTTAGTACCTATTTCAATTTCATAAGCACTATTTAAGCTCAGAGGAGAGTTCAATACTAATATCAATATTTTCTCCATCCTAATTAGGAGGACTACATGGTAATGATAATTAGCAGGGGAAATGTAATATTTTCTTTAGAGATAGAGTAATCTTAAAGGTATGCAATACTTTAGGATAAGTATATCGATTTCTTACATCAATTTACAAGTAAATCGGCAATTAAAATGGCTCCATTGGGATTTGAAAATTTACACAGCGCAAAAGTGAGGATAAAATAAATTTTGCTGCAAAAAATCGTAAACATGCCTGATAAAGGAAGTGTTGCCGGAATTTCAGCTGTCATGACACACTTTTAACAGAATAATCAGCAAACTTTTTTTATATATATAGAAAAAGGGAAGGTTATAAATACAGGAAAGTATTTAAAAAGATCATTGATGAAAGATCATTGGTGAAAGATCATTGGCAAAAGATCATTGGCAAAGGATCATTGACTTTTCATTTTTTTTAGATAAAACAAATAGATTCATCATTAAATATCATTGTTATATTTTTTAGGAATTTATTTTACTGTTTAAATATAATATTTTGAAATAATGTTATGATCAAATTTCACAGTAAAAAAAATAACAACAAAATTTGAAGAGTTCATTAATCTTTGCTTACTTTAAGAAATAATAAAAATTGTTCAAATATAATGCATATTACGGTTTAAAAAAAACAAACATGAAAATGGCGAAAAAAAATAAAAAGTGAGAAAAAATAAAAAAGCAATTTTTTCCTTCGAAATGAAAGATGTTTTATTATTAAAGCCTGAACAGGATCAAATGAAAATTTGTATTTGCGACAAATTAATTTCAGGGAGGAACACTTTTGGTAAAGTCTTGGTAAAGTCAAGGACAAAGAAAACGAACGACATCTACAACAATAAGTTATAGCTATTAGCTTTATGTTCATTTTACCGTAATAAAATTAGAATTTAATTATTTAGTCGCTCAAACTTGGAACATAATATTTTTATTAATTTCAAGTAATAATATATTGAAATATATTTTGATGCAAGTTAGTAACAATGCTAGAATATATTTGATTTAATTTAAAGTTATTCTTAAATGATGAAAGCACAATTTCAGTAGACAAATTTAAAATTATTGCTGATGAACGATTATTTTGCATGGATGACTGATTGCTGAAAAGCATAAAGGAAGAAAAAAAAAACAATGAATACGAATGATGTTAAATTAAATTTTCTATTTTACAACCTTTTCATCTTTCTTTGTTCAGTCATTTTTTCTTTTCATATCTTTTCCATGAAATAAATTTGATGAAAAGGTGTTTATTTCATCGTACTAAAAATTAGAATAAAGATTAGCTAAGGCAAGCAAGCGTTAAAACTAGTTATGAAAGTTTAGATCCAGAAAAAAAAAATGCTCGATTAGATTTGATACAGTTATGTGAAGCGTAAAAAAAAATAGTATTGGAAGTATCTCAGTTTGATTTTATACAAATATCTGTGGAACGAATTGTCATATGATTTGATGAGTTAATCGATTAGTCAAAATTTAAGGATGAAAATTTTCAAAATGTTTCATTTCCGTCCATTTTACAATGATTAATTTGTCTTGTTGATGAAAATTCCCGTATTTTACTCGGATAAATAAAGCATTTAACAATTTCATTCCCGTGAATTTGAAATGTGGACATGATTAAAAAGATTGCAAATGTGACAGAAGGCATCATTGATTAATTAGCATCAAGTTATTAGGCAAATACAGATATTAGTGAGATGTTAGCTTAATCATAGTAAATCCAACGTTTGCATCTTCTAAGGAACTTCAAATTTTTTGAAGAAAAACTTTTAATTCGATTAGTTTTTAGGTTAACAGCTAAGCTTAATTCGAATTATTACAATCAATCATGATTCTTTAAGTTAGAGAACATAACACTATGCTGTTTGTTATATTATAATACAATCACATGTCTTTTATATTCATGTAAGATTCATTTAACTTTAACCATTAATTTTCAATTTGACTTATCAGCATTATCATATTTGAGTCAGAAATTTAAGGCTTCCTCCGCTTTCAATGAGAGAAATAATGTTTCCTTTCCACTTGATGATATTATTTGTAAATGCGCGATACAGCAGTTTTTGCTTATCACTCCATTCGATCATCATACTGTAATCTTTTGTCATTATGAAACATACAGATAGCATTTCATGGTGAATTCAAGTTACAGAAAGTTTAATTTATAATTAGTCACTGAGATATGACAAAACTTTTAATAATGGCTTATCAAAAGTGTTGCATAAGCGTTATTAAAAATGTTACAGCTCAATAAAAATATGAAAAAAACGGAAAACAAATATAAAAGAAGCATTAGAAGCAATGCTGCATTTTGAAATAATCGAATGCATTTGAAAGGAACATTAGTATTGAGCGCAGTATTCCAAATGAAT